GGAAACCTTATACAAAGAATTGGATCGATCATAGTTTTTTTACGGAAGGAAAGGAATTAATTTTGGTATTGGGAAGTAGTGAGAGTAGTTGGGGAACACAAGTTAGCGATTTGCCCCCAAGTCTAGGTGAGTATGTGGGCTACAATGGGACGGGAAATAACACGGCGAGTGGACAGCCGATCACTGGATTGGAGGGGAGAGCGGTAATTTTTGACGAGAAGGTTGTCCCGGCTAGTGGGAATGAGTTGGGAGCTAAGACTGGCGGTAGTTATTGGGCAGAGGCAGCAGGTTAGGTTATGAACGAAGCTGTTTGCATGAGCACATGGATTTGAATGAAATATTGGGGTGTTGCCATGTTTTTGGATTAGCAGAAACTTTACTTCTATGAATGTATAACTAGAATTTTGAAGAGAGCCTTTCTTATGCTAAATAGTGTTTGTTTCCAAAATGCATCGACTTATCGGGAGTCGGGCGTCTCCTGTCTCATATTACGGGATGTAATCTCTGAAATATGCGAATCGGCACTACCGATTGAGATATGCAACAAATCCCCTTTCAAAAGTCTGAAAAGGAAAAGCTGAAGCAATTCTATTTTCAGAAAGAGCACTCGAAGAATCATTTTCAAACCTGAGGATGATCCAGGAACAATTATCAGAGACCATTTTCGAAAACCAGCTTCTGGAAAGAAAAGAGCCTTCAGAAAAAATGTTGCTTCAGAGCAGATACGCAGATATGCAACAAAACGTCTTCGATATGTCTGAAACAAACCGCTGAAGAATTCGGGTTATTAGATATGCAACAAAAGATGGAATAGAATTTTCAGAAGTCTGAATTGAGAAGCTGAAGAATTGCTTTTTGTAGATGTGCAACAAAAAGGCACTTCCAGCGCCTGGAGTAGTCCGATATTTCGATATAAGATTTAAATAACAAATCTCGAGGATATTCTTCGGGAACAAGTTCTTCAGAATAGGCGTGCAACAAACAAAGGCGTGGTGTCAAAACATATCAGGATGTTCAGTATTCCAAGACTGGGGATACAGACATCCTTCAATAGTTGATGTTTACTTTTCATCGTTTATCAAAGCAAGAAGTAACTTTTGATATATACGTTATGCCTTACCTGCTACTATCTACAATTTCTCTCGTTATGTCCCCTTCTCATTGTCTCTTCGAACCCATCAAGTCTTTCGCTCGATGCTTCGATTAATGCGCCAACGCCCTCTTAGCGGTACCACGTTCTAGATACCCGTATTCAAAGTTTTAAAGGCAATAGTGACGCCACTAATACACTTCTTTTGGTATCCCGAGAGCAATCGGAATTGAATACTTGAAGAACACGAAGTTTGGTTGCTTGGGAGAATCGCAGTCAAAATTACCTTTGGCTCTTCGAACTCAAACTTAATATCTGAGGAGCCCATAACAGCGGGATTAGAGCACGTACTGGAGCATCAATTGGTAGACGAAATAAACTCGATGGATCAATCCAACGAGAATGCACGCTTCCAGACATTCGAACAATCTACAACAGATGAATTGATTCGGCGAATATAGATGACTCATGGCGTTTAATTTATTCTAGAGAGACTATTAAGTCTTCATCATGTACGTGACAAATGAAGAACTTAATCCTGAAAACAGTCTACAAATGGAACTCCAATCTTGTCTTTGATGAATCTCATGACATCCACTACCTTTTCATCTTCCAACTTCTTAGCTACGAGTTGGAGACCAACAGGTGCATCGATCTGCTCTTCGACATCATAATGATCATGACACCATTTATCTATATCATTTCTCGGTGTATAGTTTTCATCCTTAACGTCAGTGTCGGGATTGACCTTTGTGACAGGAAACACAATAGCTGGATAATCGAGGAGATTCCATATAGCTGTGTAGCCCACATATCTTGAAGTACCGTGAGGCGGAGCTGGATGCGGACCCGCTGGACAAAGAATGAGATCCATTTTTGGTGCCATGGTATTCCATTCTGCTATCGTGGTTAGCAACAAGAATCGGATTTTGATACTACGAGGCTCTGTTACTTACCTTGTAAATACAAGTATCGAAATACATCCCGTTGCATGCTCCAGTCCCATACTTCTTGATGAGTTAGATTCTGAACCCCTGGAGATTCTCTTAAAACGTAACTGGCCAGAGGGAAACCGGGCTCTCCAGAAAGAGCTAATGCATCTGTGAAGAACTTTCCACCATCACAAGCAAAGAGTTTTGTCTAAATACGACATCGTATTAGTTTAGAGATAGTCTTCGGGATGACTGGCAAAATTGATCACAACTTTTGTGATTGGAGACTCAAGCTTACCAGAATTTCCATGGCCTTATCATGCTGGTAAGGTTTCCATTCAATAATCTCGACTCCGGGCACCTGTTTCAATTTTTCGACCACTTCATTCAATGCTCTAGTCAGCGGTGGTGAAGGTTTAACGATGCCATCATCCCACATAACTCCAATGGTAAGTTTATCTGTGCATGTTTGACCCGTTGTCCATGGCTTTTGGTGTAAGCTAGGATCACTAGTCCAAGGTTTCGAGTGTAAAGCGACTTTCATGAAAAGATCGATACCTTCAAGCGATCGACTCATAGGACCAACGGTACCGGCGATGGTGTCGCATCCCATACTAGGAGCTGCAAGTCCTACCAATGGAAGACGGAAGGTCGTTGGACGTAGGCCATAAAGTCCACACTGAACTGCAGGAGATCTAATGCTGCCACCTAGTGACTATTAAAAGAGGTGCAAAGAAAAAGGTAGGGTATTTGAAACATACCAATGTCCGATCCAATTCCAAGTAAACTCCCGCCAAGAGCTAAGAGGGCGGATTCACCACCTGACGAGCCACCTGGTGACAGCGCTGTATTGTGAGGATTCGTAGTCTGACCAACTATATTATTGACAGTTTCTAACATCATCTTCACCACAAGTTCTGTCAGTAATGTACTAAATTGCCGCAGATCAAAATTTTATGATCTCTTGAAAACTTACCAAAGCTTGCGGTTCATTGGTTCGCACATATAGTACTGCACCAGCAGCTAAAAGAATCTTGAGGATATTCGCATCGTCATGATTCTTGCGGCCAACCCAACCTACTAATCCACAAGTATTATCCAAATCTTTCATACCAATATGTGCCTTCACACTTATTGGAAGACCATGAAGTGGTCCTATAGGGCCACTTTTAGCAAAGTGCTCATCAAGTTCCTTTGCCCGTGCAACTGCTCGCTCAGGAAGAAGTTCATAGACGCAGTTTACCTAGAAAGCAATATGTTTATCTCAGTTCTTGTGATCATAGAAACCAAAGTTTAGATATGAAAAGGAGCACGAACCAATTTCTGAGCAATCGCAGCACGTCGAAGAAAAGCTTTCGTGACAGCTAAGGAACTAAGCCTTCCAGTAGCAAGAGAAGCCAATAGATCCTCGATTGGTGTTTCAGTGATCGTAATCTCTTCTGGGCTCAAGTACTTTCTGGGAAGTGAAATTACTCGACGAGGCAGTTTTTCGGTAATTTCGACAATAGCAGGCTCAACTTTGGCGATTGTGGCATCTCGATGCTTTTGGACCTCACTTGCTATGCCCTGCCATTTTGTAACTCCTGCTGAAGTTTTTGATGCCATTTTGAAATTTTAATCTGAGATGTATCGATTCTTTCAATGGGTCAGGCAAAGCTAGGCTACATTATATAGAAAGTGATGATGAACACTTCACACTAATGAGTATATTGTCACCATTGCATACTGCGCCATAATTCCGCGCATGTTTCAGAGTTTATTTTTCCCCGCAAAACTTCGGCCTTTGGTAGCTCCTCCTCATACATGCTCCCCTACACACACCATCTGGGACCTTTGATCAAATCGTCTTGGAGTAGGACGAAAGCAAAGATCAAAACATACTGTTCAACGACGAAAGTAAAAGGAATAAAGTTGGTAAAAGCACCGGGATTGGAGGCCTGGAACGTCCAGCAAATCTCAGGGTCTAATTCTTTCGGATATGGCTTCTATGTCAACGTCATAAACCCTCTTTGAAGGAGACATTTACTATCTTCGTCTTTACTCAAAGGGTATTTCGTAATTATCCGAACAAGTAAAACAAATAAGGCATTGGACTCCATAAAAATGCAAGTATCAACAGGCGCTTCGGGTACAGCCTCCTCGCACACGGTCTTCCGAAATTCCGCAAGAGGACTGAGTTGTTCATTCAGCGATCAGTCCCCCCAAAAATAGATCCTAAAGATCCCATGATCAAAACTTGGAATAGAATGCGGGGGACTGGAAACCCACGTCCGGCCGGGATAGAATACCGAAGTGGACATCGGGAAACTCGGGACGGGTAGACAATTCCCAGATTCCTAGCCTTAAGAGCAATACCCGGAAAATTCAAATGAATGACGAGAAACTATGAAGCTATACTAATGAGTTGATAATCCCGTGAAGTGTTTCGCGGTGTCTTTTTAGAGGATGATGAAAATTCCCAGAGAAAAATTCGGTGGGGGATGTTTTTTGAAGTGTTCGTGCAATTTAGGGATAGATACCCGGCCGGGTATATCCGGGTATACGCTCCGGATATCTTCATAGACATTCATTCTACAGTAAAATAGAGATATCCTTATATAGAGGTATCCGACTAATTCCGACCTAGTAGTAATTAACTTCCGATGAGTCCCGATCGGGTTATATTTCACAAAGCGCCGCTGCCCCTTTTCAGATCTCAAATCTCTTCTCGTGCAATTGATCGAGACGAAACTCCTCCAAAGACTGCTCTCGCAAAAGAAGAAGAATAAGGTGAAATTCAAGCGCTGGTTTTCGTTGTTAGATTTGGGTAGCGGGATATAAGCTATCAGTATGTTCGTCTCCCGAAATTTTGACGAAGTCTAAGAATCGTAGATCGAGATGCGAACTTATATCTTGGTATAAGCTGTCAAAGATGGCATAGGTCACCATGTTGAAGTGGTGGTAGCAGAGAGTAGAAGAAATACTCACTAATCTGCGTTATGCAATTTTCTCATGTTCTCTCGCCGGTCACTATTAAACTTTCCATCCTCTTCCTCTACAAGCGTATTCTCGTTGGCGAGCGGTTCATTCGTTAGTGTATACACACATAATCGTGATATCACCTTGGGTCACTTTAGGTCACTATAATGTTCTTATGGCTATATTGTACGCCGATCAGTGCGTGTTAGACGAATGAGGGGAAATGCTTCAACTTTAAGAGTTTTGCAGTTGGGTAGGTGATTGTAAATATCCTGACAGATGCGTTGATTAGCATATTGCCTTTGCCAAAAATCCGAAAGCTACACTTACCTGTTGGCCAAAATATGGCACTCTTGTTGATATCCACTCTGGGACTTTTGTGACTATTCTTTCCGAAGGTTAACGAGCCTTCAACTGATATAAGATAGTGAAATCGCATCTGCGTTGACGCGTGTGGTATCTGAAATGCTTCTCATTAGCTCTCCAAACTCAACCTAGGGTTATATAACTAGCAATATTTGATCCTTTATTGAGCCCGCGGTTGGGATCATATGCACCTGCCTTTTTGTTACTCATATTATTTTACTTGCTATTATCCCCGCATCTTAACGCTCAGTGTTTTCTCTCCATTCAAGCCCATCTAAAGATGTTACAAGTGGTCGTGGAACTGGAAACTAGCCACACACAGCATCATAGAATGAAATTCAAATCAAGAGCCAAACAGGAACATCGAAGAAGGATCATAACGACGCAGGAATTGAAGATGCGCTAGAGTTGAGACTTGTAAAAGGATTCGGACAACAGGAATCTGGAAATAAAATTGTGGTCAAGCAAGAATATGTAGCTATAAAAAAGGGCGTAAGAGCAGCTGAAGGCGTATAGCATTTTCGTGCTTGACTCTGAAGGAAAATCTAAGGAGTCACTTAATTATTGCCGTGACCAAGATCAACATGGATACCAGGCACAGTTTTGAAAGGCTGGGAATACTTCAAATGGAATATCACTATTGAACCGGCAATACACTCAGACGTGCTGTTCTCACAAAAAGCCTGCCTTCCATTGTGTGAGGAGTCAATGACGCACTCTACACCTTTTACTCTAGCTTTGGATCGCCTATTTTGGTAAAATCGGTGGTACTCGAGCTACAGCAAACACTTCGGTAACACACAACGCCTTTTTGGGAAATGCGAGCAGCGCTCCAGTAGTATGTTCAGCAATCCAATCCATACTGCAATTCGAAAACGGCAGTCATCTTGGATCTTGCTCGAGTGTAAAAGTATGATACCGAGTTAGGAAATAGCATTCTGGAAGTGGTACAAGCTACTAGTTGGAGATGAGTAAGGGTGACGTGGTATAGTTTATGCTCTTATATTCGAGAACTACCTAGTCTCATCATTTCCCATCCATCTCAGATCTAGTAATTAGCGCACGTCTTCTTCTGGAATAAAGAATGACGTTAAAGTTCGCTGCGATCTCTTGTTAGGGTTAAGCTTTCGTTCATTGGAGTATTCAGTGGTCCGAAAATTCCCGATAGCCAGATTATTTGTAGAACTAGGTGCTTACTAGGTTGGCTTATGCACCCCGCACTTCTTGACACATTGAATAACCCAGTAAAGCTCTTAAGCTGCTGTCAAGCTAAAAGCTTGGGCGTTCTTGGATTATAAGATTGATTGATCGTATCTTTCAACACTGTAATTTTATTGCCAAGAGTTAGCATGAGCATTCTTGTTAGATAATTTGCTGTATAGAAGCTAACGTACTCTACTCTCATTCCACGGTTCTCACTCTCTGAGAATCCGGGCTCGATGTTCAAGATAGGGAAATAATGATGAGGATACAATTTTTCGGCTCGACAAGTTTGAGATGTTAGATCTAAAAGCTAGTACGCCGTTCAAATACTAGTATTAGATTAGTGTGAAGGCTCTTATACGTCTGGAACAAGATTTACAGAAATCTTGTATAAAGTGATGCAATCCAGTCTCTTGTAGTCTGAACTATGTTTCCATGCCCTTCTGCTATCTATTTATCAACATTCGCTCTGTCCGTTCTTTACATTGCCACACGGTATCAGTACACTGACGTTCCAAAGGTTTTCTAAAGAAGCAAAATTGATCATTCCAATCGAATCTATAAATATCAATATATCTTGTGCTTAACCATCAATCTATCATCATGGCTCGCTCAACACCGCCTTACCGAATGTTTTTCGCTGCCTGGGTCGTCGCCGGTCTGTCAATCTGTCTATGGCAAATGAGCCCCCAAAGCCCCTCCCTCGAAAGCCGGACCATGATATTTGACCCCAACACAGAGATGCAACAAATCGCTACGTACGCTGATAACTCTACACTTCCATCTCTCATCTCCTCGTCCATTTCTACATCCACATCCACAGACGTTTAAATCATTACTACAACCTCAACTTCTCTCGAAACCGATATTCACACCCTTTATTACTACTCCCCCACGAATTCCCCACGAAATTTGGCACAAATGAGATCTCAAAGCCGTTGATTCCGAGACAACGCAACGAGTTGAGCATTTTTCGTACCTCCTCAAAATTCTTTCCGTCTATGTCATCCATCCTCTCGAACCACCTTTTCCGTGCCGATGCGATTCGCTGTTTTTCTCTCCACGCCAAAGAAGGCTTCTTGTCTGATCTCCATGGCGAGTATCTCATGGGTCATCCACGATCAATTCAACTCCTGGATTCTCATGGCCAAACTTCGAACTCGTCACTGGGAGAGCAATAACTGAATCGCTTGCGTAATGGTAGAATGAAGTGACGGGGGAAGTCTTGGGTGATAAGAATATTTGATACGAAAATGAAGGAGCCTCTTCTTTGGGAGATATATTGATTTTACCGGGTGGGGCATAGCGGCGTAACAACATTAAACGATTGGCCTACTGATGAGGGTCGGTATTTGGTTACGCATCACCTTTCGGAAAACTGGAAAAATCAGGATGGAGGCAGGTTTGATAAATAGATCTCAAATCTTCATATGTTTGGTGCCATCATTGCATGCGGGGATTTTGTATATGGACAATGTTTAATGTATATAAGCGGGAATGATACAATTAGTATCAATTCCCAATCCCTCTATTCCACAAACAAAGTGACTAAGGCAAGATGCCGGTAATTCTACTTTCGAAAAAAAAAAGTTTTTGATTTTCCTAAAATACATTCAAAGATACGTTCCTATCCAATGACTCCCAGAAGTCCCTCGAATATTGATATAAACTTCAAGTCTTCAACTCCAAAATGACGATACACGAAAAAGGCCTCTCCATCCATTTATGAGTAACCCAGCTCAGCTAGTCATCACCAAACAAATCACCACCTCACAAAAACCTAAAAAAAATAAAAATACACTAAGAGAAAGTAACCGACACCTTTCCACCATTGTTGAACCCTTGACAACCACCTGATGGTTGACCACTAGCAAGACCATACGTCGCACCAGTCTGGCTTCCAGCAGCACAGTTGATTAACGAATACGTACCTGCATTTCCGCACGTATTCCCGCTCTTGCAAGTAAAGACACACTTGGACATACTGGAGGTGCAACTGCCGACTTGGATGGTCATCGCATTTCCACCCATGTTGACTTCGCGAGAGACGTCTACTGTAGCATAAGCACCGGTTGTGAATTCTCCCCAAGTATTAAATACTTGACCATATTGGCTCAGAGTGGTCTTTTGGTTATAAAGACCAGCCCATCCACCAGATACTCCATTTGCCATGGAGATTGTAACGGATTGGCCAGGGCCCAATGAATAAGAGACTTGAGGTTTTCGGGCGTTCATGAAGGAACTTTGATAGTCCCCTGAAGCTTGGGTCCAGATGATTACAGTGACAGGTGCGGCTGCACTGTTTTTGAATACAAATGTGTTGGGTCCCTGAGTTCCGATCCAGACTGCACCGTTGGCAGCCTTCGCGTTTGTCCCCATGCCGGCCATCCCGATGGTCGACATATGTTTGCAATCTGCGGCGGTGAGACCAGCGACAGGACTGGCACAAGAGAATCCTCGCTTCTCAAGAGTGACCTCACTAGATGGTGATGTTAGAAAAGTCAAGATGGAGGTAATAGATGTGGTACTAACCCTGGGACTGCGGGTGCAGCTAGAGCAATGGAGAGCAAGCTCATCCCCGCGACGATACTGGAAAGAGAAAATAACATTGTGGTATATTTGTTAGAATAGTTAATTTGTAAATCTTAAGTTGTGACGTGTGACTTGAAAGAAGTGGAGTAAAAGGTAAAGGAGTGACTTTTAAATAAATATAATAGAAAAAACTCTGACCGAGAACAGATCTGAAAAGGAGTGACAAAAATGAGTGACAAAAATCAGTGACAAAGTGCGAAAGCAGAAGTTGTGGAAAAAAATCCGAGTACCGTTTTAAGAAGATTCAGACGCAGACAGGTAAAGCTGCTTGTGGCTGCTTAAGTATAATACTCGAAATCATTCGTACGGTGCTGCTAATGACTGGAATGCTCGGCCTGGGGGCAGGAATGCCACCTCCAACAACAAGGAAAATGAAATATTCCTACCGTACGTAGGATAATAGTACGGATACCACATCATGTTTGTAAAAGGTTCTAGAAACGGCTTCGTCCCGGCCAAACTTTATCAAAAGCGCACTCAAGCTCATTACTTCATGGGAGACTGTTCTCGAGTGTTACATCAGATTAAGGGCCTCAAGATGCTATTTCCGGCACGTGCATGCAAAGGGGGAGCATCAAGCGAGCTCGTTTTGAGGTGTTTGATGCGATCAGCCAATTGGGTGGGAGTAAATTTGTCGTAAGGATGCAAGATGAGGAGAGCCTATGTCAGCATCAACGAAATAATCTAATTTCCCGAGATCCTAATCGCGGGCTGTGTTCTGGCACGAAACAGCCGAATTCCACGATCTTTGAGACCGAAATAAAATTGTTACGTTGAATAGTATGATTACAGCAAATGTCAGATCTTATTGCAGAAAACATACCATGGCTATGTTTTGAAGGAAGAAACTTTCTTCCGTCAACGACTGCTCCCACAATCGTATATCATGTCATCCTGTGACTACCATGAAAACTTCTTGCTCGTCGATAGATGTCAAAATCTAGTTCCCTTGGAAGCCGCCGTCCGGCAGCAGACCTCGAGTTTGGCCTTATCAATGCGGGGATATACCAACCGCCATTCTATCGTCCTCGATTTTGGCCTCATAGCGGGATTTGTGTTTCAGGGACACGTAAACTATTCATTTTTGAACATCTGCACGCGTCACCAGAAGTGTTCTCAGGCTTTGATTGCAAATTTGGGCTGGATGGAATGCGTGGTGGCTAAGCAAAAGATAAGACTATGAAGCTGACTTGCCAAGTTGACAATGTCAACTACTCCTACTCAGGTTTGTTGTGTTGATTAAACAATAACAATTGGCCCGTGCGCGTACGCTTTCCGATCTATTCGGATAAAAAAGAGGCCGGTTCAACAGAGGTGGTCAAGCCCGTTTTCTCCTCAAAGTAGAACGTGGTGCTGTACACGTGATAGTCATGAAAGTAATGAAATTTGCTTATGATCCTTCAAGAGTAATAAGACAGTTGTAGCTTTCAGAGGCTAGGGCGGAGCGACCCCGATCCAGGATATGTAATAATCACGTGATATAGCCCTTAATCACTCAAGTTGTCCTCGATTTGAGCGAGACCATGTGAAAAGCTACCGATAATTGTTATGGCTTAAGTACCCATTTCTTTCGAGTTACTATTAGTCAAGGCATTCTCGCAATCTACATGTGCTCTATCGTCTCAAGTATTACAGTACAAAAATGGACGGGTAAAGAACTCCCTTATCAATACGCAGTGTGCACCTTTCCTCTACTCTATACTCTGCAGAACCGACACCATTCTTCTTCACATCATTCACTTATCATTTCACTCATCATTTCACTTGTCATACCTCCCAACTCTATAATTAAGCTTAATGAATCGAGTATTTAGCAATCCCTAAGAGACTGCCGAAGTCTTGGCATCTCTTATTAGATGTATTTTTCTATTGAAACTAGTGTAGTCACACAGCATGTTAAGAGATAAAATAGGATATATATATCTACTTTTTGGATAATTTGCAACATACGACCATAGACTGAGGAAAATTGGGCATCCCGTCCGCTCTGCCATACACAAGTCTCAGATCGGTAGATTAGTAGTTGGGTGGGTGACCACCAGCGAATCCCTACTGTTGTATGTGTTTTAACTTTTTGGTCCAGATATTCTAGCGAACTATTCTCATGGATGCGGGTGAAAAATGAGGAAGCATGCCAGGGACTTTGATCTTGGTGGTAAATTCCCTCTTTTTTTCGCTATTACTTAATACAGACTCTCATTGTCAAGATTCTATCTATCACACGGTTTCGTTCCTTAGCTCAGAATCCTAAATCAGCTCCATGTTCCATTTGCCGGACCAAATCTACCACTTTCAGGTAATGAAAGCCATGGAAGACCATTTCCATCTGCCGTATTGAGGTAAACTGTATTGCCTACAAACTCAAACGTTAGTCAATCTTACTTTTCACAAAGCATATATAAAATGAGAGAAGAGACTTACCCCACCAATCTGGAAATTGGGCTCCAGGATATGTGATGCAGAAGAATATCACAATTGCTGATAGTGCAAGACCCGTATCGAGCGCAGCTGCTAGTACGTAATTGTACTTAGCTTTGGTCTGTCAGTATCAGCTCTCTTGTGTAGACGGAGTTGTACTTACACCACCACGCAAAGAATTTTGCTTTGATCCACCAATTAAATGTTAAATTTACCAGTGCCCAACTACTGTAGTTGATGCCCGTAGCTGGTGGCACGTTATAAGTTCCTACAAAGATCAACGGCCAGTTGATGAGTCGTATCCATTTTCTTTCTTCACCACTATCTTTCCTCCAGAATTTCCATACAACCCACGTGATTATCGGTATAAGTGCACCGATCCAAAAGAAGTGCAACAGGCCAGAGTAAATCTTGCCGATAGAATATACGCGTCCTGGTCCAATTGCACCCCAAATGACCGAGGAAGAAAAGACTGTACGGCCATTTGGACACGTGAAACCATTCGACTGATCTTGCGAGCAGATGTCTTTGACATTACCGAGCATCCACAAAGTCACTCCAACTTGTGTAAGAGCCCCAAGAATCTAGATTGGGCTATTAAAAACTGTCTGAACTGTAAATACGTAGGCCAACTCACAGTGGCACTTCCTTGTGCGAAGAAAAGAGTTCGAGGTGGAACTTTCATGTAATGACCTAGCTTCATGTCTTGAACGAAGTACAGGCCTTGACCAACTACATCAGTAGAAAGAACCTTGAAAATTATGTCTGTAATCAGTCAGTTACATCGTTTCTTGCACTAACATAAAAAAATACACACTCGCTAATGGTCGTCCAGTAAACATGTATCCGCCAATGAATTCGGCTAGAACGTTAAGTTGGTTGGCATTTACGTTGGTTATCCCCTGAATAATACCACATGGAATCATGTAGAATGCCGGTATGATCACAGCCACTATGACAGCCCACCACGGCAAGGTTGTATCATAAACTTCGACCATCACGATACCCAATGCAAGCATTATAACCGTAATAACTCCATACCAATACCAGGGAGTCTGTGTGTAGAGGCGCATCAAACGAGCATGGATATCCAATTTAGTCCGACCAGCAAATGAATCAACAATCTGAGTGCCATGCCAGAGGTATATATGAACTGGAACGGCGGTAATGGCTGCAAAAGATATACCATATACAAAGGCAAACGTAGCAGGAAGAAATGCAGGTGAATATTCGGCGTATGCAGTTGCATTCAAAGTATTCGAGGAAGTCATGATCCGAGAAACGTTATATAGAGACGCGGTGTTATCGTAAACATCAGCCGAACAAAGTGGAAGATAGGCTGTGTACCAAACGTTTGCATAACTGTAGATATGAGAGTCAATATTAAGATTGACTGAAAAATGATGTGCTATGACCTACTAAAGACCAGGGGTAACAATCCAGAAGAAAATTACAAAACCACCGAATACATTTAAGGCTGTGAACTTTTGTTAGCCATCTGGATTGAATACATAGGATAGAAACACGACTTACCGGCCCACGCTGGCGAGAGTAGGGGATTTGAGTTATATGCTATCTGTGACCAATCAAACGTGATTGGACTCAATCCGAGACCTGTAACCATTCCGAACAGATGGTTGACAATCAGGTTGTTTGGAGCAATCCAACAGACCCAAGTGAAATATGAGAGAGCCACAAATATTAAACCGGGGAAAAAGTACCAGATTCCCGCTCCAACCATAACATACATAAAGAATCGAAGTCGACTAATTTTCCAACCATTGGCGATAGCATTTGCTCGGGAATGTAATGTAGAAAGTAGAGCGCAATTAGACAGCACCCCAGGCCAGATTATAGACGCAGGTTCTACCAACCAAGGAGAAGATAGTCCAGCAACCCCAAAGCCCATCATTTGACAACAAAGCACAATGAGAATTGAGAAGCCAGGCTTCAGGTCAAAGCTGTAAAACGCTTTTGCAGCTTGAATGATACTTGTCGAGTCTGCGCTCCCATAACCAAAGCTCACATTGCTCATAATGGTGACGACAGTGTGCTCCTTAATATTGAAGTGCCTATCGGGGTTGATACACCATTTCCCCAAAGGTCCTAGATTAATAGTATAGAGGGGCAAAATCTTTGCCAAGAGTATACCGAAAGGCATTGCCAGAAGTTCAGCAACGAGCGCAACAATATGAACTGAGGGGTAACGAAGACTAAAGAATTGATTGATTCCGGCACCAATCATAGTGAAAGCAAACCCTAAAATCCACATCCTCAGAGTATTGACAGGAATGGCTTGATCGTCGACATCTGGAACTACGGCTCGGACTGAAATGCTGTTAGTCTTACTATCTCCTTAGAATTTGTATGTAGATTGACCTTCGGGATATGGCGATGTATCGCCTTCTATATCATCCAGTCCCTCATCGTTGAGTATTTTTCCAACGTCAACTTCCAATTCTTGCATGTGTTGTGTTCCCACTTTGATCTCAACATCTTGATCTTTGTCACTTTTCTCATTCAAATCTTGCCTTGCATTTGCTGATATTTCTGATGACATTTTGATAACATCAGAGGGAAAGTTTGTTATCGAGTTGTACGAAACGCAGTCAGGATATGTCTTTGTATTTCAATACGAATCGTCGTCCTACCCCAACATTGAACCAACATCGTAGCGAGGAAAGATAACGATACTTCATTGCCTATCAACCAATAGAACTTTCATTAATTCTCATCACTGATCTTTTGATAGGTACTTCCATTCTGAGATAAACAGAACCTAGAATTGGAGGGGTGAACCACACGGGGTGTCATTTGCCGCAGGGTGTTTTATGCAGGGGATCTGCCAAGCTGACATTGCGTTTTTGCTCCATGATAAGAAATATACACCTTCCTTTTTTGTGTACAGACGCTGAGAATTATCTAACTGCAAACAGTGGTAATGGATCATTAACATCGCGATTTGGGTAACGAGCAGGAAGCAGGAAGCAGGAAGCAGGAAGCACATCCAATAGATTCTCATATGTGACCTCTCCCATGAGAACATGATGATCTTCGGGTGATCGGAATTCGGGAGGGCTTAACCTCTCATACAGGAGTAGAATATCTAGACTCTGAATTATCACTAGATATGCAGAGAAATACAAAGACGTTGTGTAGACATCGGACTATTGAAGGGTGGATGAGATGCACCGATGTTCCGCATAGATACAAACTAAAGTTTCTGGGTTTGGGTGCTGTTAATTATCACCGCTTTCTACTTCCATCAAACTATACGGCAGAATTGTCGGGATCTTATCTTATCTAACCTTACCGGGACTGCCACCCGCTGCAAACTGTTGCATCTGGCGATTGTTCATCGACAGACCCGCTACAAGCTTTCTAGACCACAATTCCTGGCTATCTCAAGGCTATCTACTGCACTCACCATGACTGGTCGCTATCTTCCAGGTAGCTCAATGCATGCGAATCATTATAATCCCCTATCGTTATCAAATCCCAGGCATTTACCTCATCGAACGCGGCACAAATGGGGGCTTCGACTCAAGCTACCAATATAGCACACAAGTTGCATGTGGAGTTTTTTTTAGGTCCATTTGATAAATGCATTATAGTGATAGGTCGTGTTCAGTATACGTACTATAATGTTCATGCCAGTGAACCAAAGCCAAACCCATCATCTAGGGCGATTTTGACCCCGATGCTTTGATGGGGGACCCAGCTGAGGGCCTGGAGCCGATCTTTTCTTGGATTTCTTTGGTTGCGCAGGCGAATCAGGTAGTTTGCGAACAATACCTTTAGGGCCAAGACTGCACTGTTAGCAAGCCATTCAGGGAATGAGGACACCCGAAACTTACACAAATCGAGGCTGTACACCCGCTCGTATACATGCTTCGAAAATGTCCCTTGGAAGAGGAGCTTGGTTATTTTCAGCCAGCCAGTTATTACACAATACCAGAAAGATCTCTAGATCGGCATCCCAAAAATCCAATCTGTACCAAGGTTCTTTTCTGTCTGCTAGATAGATCCTGGTCGCATTGGAGAAGCATTCTGCCTGTGCCTCAGAGGCCCTTACTTGCACCGGAACAGTTGGAGCTGGTAAGTTTGTAGGCCAACCATTACTGAGAGTGCGGAGAATTGCATGGTACGGGGTTGGTGGCCTTCCGTTCTTGTTGCGGATTCTGATCTGTTAGCCATAATATCTACGCGGCGTAGCTGTGGGTACCTTACTGAAACAATTCCTTACGCTCACTAGAATTCAAGAGAAATTCTCTCCATTCTTCGGCACTTAAAACTATTCCGCCATTCCTACATATATATTGATGGAGTGTATGTTCTGGCATTCTGAATTTCATCGTGTCAATAGCCAATTCTCTCTTTTGGTTGATCAAGTAGTTCTTGATCTCATCATAACGTGGACAAGGAGGTATTTCTTCGTCGTCGTCTTCTCCCTCTCCCTCTTCTTCCTCGTCATATTCTTCGTCCTCCTCTTCATTACCCCCTGGTGGAGGATAGGGTGGTAGCAAGTAATTAGATTCTAAATTCCCGTGAGCAATTATTGCATTTCTGATTGCATGGGCGCGCTGCTTATACGAGTTACGGAACCAATCTACAATGCTTTGGATTTGATCCTTCGGTTCCGTTTCTATCATCGTGGTGTCTAAATCTATATTTTCGAAGCCAGCAGCGGGTGGTTCAGGAGGTAAACCATCTGACCTATTGATGGTTCTTTTCCCGTATAGTTTCGGAATATGCGTACTTCTTGGTCCAAATCTATGTCTAAGGATTAGCAAACCCAAAGTCTGTAGTCTTGCAGAAACGACCCACACCGCTTTGTATGTATTCCACCAAAGTTGGTTCTGAATATCTATAAAATAAGTCAAAGTTATTGGCCATATATGTGAAACAAAATAGTCTGGAGGTTTTCTAATCAGAATCAACGGATTCGTTGTTAATGGTTCGGTTACTGATTTGTCAAATTCGCTCCTGCTTCGATTAGTATTACATCGCGGAGGAAAAGTGTAAAATCCGAATCCTACAGATAAAATCCCATGGGCGGAATCCCCCGACAAGGCACACTTTCTTCTCTCAAGAAATCTTGAGCGATGCCACCAAACACCTTCCAAATTCATCAGCTTACTGTGAAATGGGAAGAGAATTGACATGGGGTAGTCTCACAAAGCTTTCCATTGAGAAGCCTCTATAAACAATCAGAAAATATCGACAGAATTGGGGATTTGATCAAATACAACACATACAACTCGGAGGTTCTTTGATATTCGAACCATGGTTCTAAATTCTGCCCAACGACATCCTCACCATCCGTTCGTATGCCCCATTTTCGCAGACATTCCCAAAAGGCATGCTGTGCTCACAATCAGCACCCGAATGATACGGTCACCATCTGTATATGTATGTGAATTTGACAGAACTTACGCAAAGCTCATGCAGTAAGGTGGCCGCAAATCTATACGCAACTATCATTCGTTCCGCTTCAGTTACCTTGCCATTAAACAATGGTTCCAATATTTCAAAAGCCATCGATATACCTATTCCTCTTTTGGTGACTATATCTAGAGCCCCATTTGTGTTTGCGAACTCGAATTCATCTGGTAATCCGGATCTAGTATCTGTGTGTCCACTACTCAGATCCAGAATAACATCATCCCGAAACCTTTCAAGTATTTCTTGGGCACGCATACGCTCATTGACTTGAGCACATATCTCAGGGCGTCGTAATTTGAATCGTTGATATCCCTTCTTCCCTCGTAGTTCGGGTGGTAAATCAACCGGGTCTATCTCTTCCATCTCTCCGAAGAATAAAGCATCAAACCTACAAAGTCAGCATTCAATTACAACGGAAACCAGAACGACTTACCAAGGCCAGGTATACAAACTAGCCATAAACATCGTTGTTAGTTGTAATGATGGTACCATCATATTCCAAACTGTATCATTTTCCCACTACCATCTCGGACTATCAGCATATATCCCATTAATTTCCATTTCCTTCTCTTACAGCATCCCAGTATCCTCCTCGTCCATTCCCAAGTGGATACCTAGCCAATTGAGCAGGTAGTTGCCGTCTCCATTTCGATCTTTGCAGAATCGGATGAATAGGACAGGTCAACTGTCCAGTCGCTTTCAAATTCGAATACGGAGCGAACGCATCGTGAAGATGGAGTTCCTGCGTCGTGAAACCTAATCATTAAGCCAATTATTATTAGTCCGATCTCCTGGTAGGATTTCTAAGGTAGAGAGGTGGTACGAAAACGAGAATGAAAAGATACCATTGAATCTTTGAGACTGATACCATTTTAAATCCTGGTGAGCTTTGTGTTTATAATAATTTTCGTATGGAGGCGGGGTGATGGGCGTAATACCGCTCTTGAGTAAACCGGGAAGTCGATGCAACGCTTTATGGTCTTCCCCAGTAGGATGCGTGTGCGATTCTGCGAGGCGAGTATATCTTGATGGCTGAGCGGCCATTCTGAGATATATGTATGATCTTTGAAATTTTCAAGCTCCGTGGATCGATACAACTGAAAGTTTAGTTTTTCATGTGCTTTTGTTTTCTTAGAGCTCCGGATTTGTGTTGGAGAAATTCCATTGTTGGAGGAAGCGAGGATCTGGGAATAAAGTCCTGCTTCTTATGTTCTTTGTTGTGTAGCATCTGATATAGTAAACTCTTTACCATTGGGTTTCTTTGTCAAGAGAATTGAAGGCCATGTATTCTTTACAACTTTGTTTGGTCTTGCATCTATGCAGCATTTCGATGACTTCTCAAAATCTGCGCTGGGGTGAAAACCACATGATGGCATTTTGCGCCTAGAGAGCGACATCATTCAATGAAATTCAACTGTAAAAAATAAGAAGATGGATAAAAGGTACGCACGCCCCTGGACCTCCATGACGCTGAATTATCTACTTTTCATATACAACTCACTAATCTAAGTTTTGTTGTACATCGTTCATCTTGCCGTGAGTACCCGGGGCACAAGCCTATGTACATGGAACTTTTGTTGCATACCTGTAATTTTCTAGACTTCAGTTTAGTATCGAGATCACCATGCGATACTAGCTTCGTACTTGAGGTAATCATTATGCATCTTTTTGAGGTTTGAATTCTTGGGTTTGGATAACAATTTAGGTATGATCTGCGAATTGGAAAGGTGGTTACAGCAACTCTACAGGATTACCGGCGCATGTTGGTTATCTGATGGATTTCCGTTTAGAATAAGCTCTTAACATATCTGACTATCTGAGGCTGTATGGAGGAGGAAAATCTAGCCAGGTGAGGAAACTGAAGGCGATTAGCGGGAGAACTCAAAGGGAAGGTAGAAGGAACGGCTCAATTCAATCTTCAATCGGTAGTTGGAAAAGGGAAGGTACTCATGGTAATCTAGCTGTCATCTATCAAATTCTATTACGATATTACTTTGATTTCTATGTAAGGATAGAGCATTGACAAGAGGTGAAGTTAGCTCATAAATGAACTTACTATACAATTTTCCTCGGCTAGACAATTCGCTCGGTTTAGCTTGAACTTCATCGCAGCAAAGCACAAGAGGGAAGGATATTACTCGGTAGTGCGAGATTCTATATGAGGGAAGATCAAATGATCATAACTGAGTAGGCTGTGCAACGGGTACCCGCGGAGCGGATAATGGCCTTGACAGATAATCCGCGGATAATCTGTCTGCAGAGTGAATAATTCAAAAATCTGAATGAGTAATCTATAAAACAGATACAAATTACCCGCAGATATTCACCTACTTATATATTATATAATTATTCATAATCTTTTATATTATTAATATAATTTTATAATTAATATAAAAATTAATATAAAAATTAATATAAATCTAAGTTTAGATCATTTTTGAACTAGAAAATAATCTAGAAATAGCTTTATATTTTAAACAAAAAAAACGGATATATACATATAATTCGCAAATTATCCATAAATAATCTATATATCCACAGATAATCCATCTATCTATAGGTAAATAAATTATCTATAGATAATCTACAGGTTATTCATATAAAATAAATAATTTTAAAGCCTTAATAGATAATTCATAGAGTAAATAGAATCTTTAATAGATAACTTGTGGAGCGAATTATTTGCAGATAATTCACGGGTATAGATAATTTGTGCGTAGCTTATAACTGAGTCTTCTAAGTCACCCGTAATATTATCATGGAAATTTGAAAATGACACATTGTTCATAGCAAGTGCAGCCGACATGTAAGAAAGTTAAACCTTCAAGACGTTAAGACTAATGAGGCTCACGAGGACTAACCAAAGATTATCCGATTTTTGGCCAATTAAATCCATTCATCTACTCTAAACATAGAATTTTTGTTAGCCTGGTAGATCCCCAGCGATCGACTAGTATTCTCACGCTATCTATCTGGGCAGCTTATGACATTTCCACACTTTTGAGAATTCGAATATTATGTAAACTACCAGCGTCTTTCTGTCCTTATTATATCTCTATCAACTCGATATCTCAACCATATTCATTTCATTAACACTCCCAAATTTATCATCCGCATCATCTCTACAATATAATCATCACATTTTCCCCATTTTCGTCTCATTACAAGAGTCATATATATATGTATCCTCTGTAAAAGTACTCATACATTGTGATTCTTGCCACAGTGTCAATCTCATATCATCACTCCCATATTATCTCACCAGATTCTCAAATTCACCAGTTACACCGAAACAACTTTTGACTTAAATCAACCTCATCTACCTACTCCATCATCTCGACTACATTCCAAGCAGAACATCCTAAGAATGTCAACCGAGTGTCAACTCCTAGCAAAAATATGGTGCTCACCAACACCTACAGCACCTCTCCTAAAGGCACTCCATGCTGAATGCCTATCATACCTCGAGTCTGTCAAACTGTCAACATCCTGCTCAAGTCCTGAGCCTCGCACTTTAGAAAGTCTACCTGCCGAGATCCAAGACAAGATTATTGGTTATTTAGGATTTGTAGGAAAAACTAAGCTGCGACAGACGAACCATTTCTACAACGCCACCATTCCAGCTCCTACTCCTACTAACGAAGGACTCCGCGAGTTAATCCTCGCTACCGAAAGTGAAAAGTATGCAAGAAAAAACAAACTATTGGCTTGTAACAATTGTTTACGCTTGCGACATAGATCCAGATTCACAGACATTCAGGCAGAAGGAAAGAGAATCCGCAATGGTCCACATCGCCATCTTCGTCTTTGCCTGCAGTGTGCAATGTGGAAGGGATTGTATCGGCCTGGTGAATTTGTCCAAGTAAACGGCGAAGATGTGTACATCTGTCGATGTAGGAGTATCACACCAAAGGCAAACTTACCCTCTAATTGGCTTAAACATAAACGATGTGCGGATTGTTATTCAAAAATAGAAAGAGCACGGCAGAGGAGACAGGACAGCGAGCCCAAGGAGAGGAATGCATGGATAACAAGGATGACAGGGTTCACTCCGGAGCAGTTACAAGAACAAAGGACCATGTACTTCCATTTTGGATCCCGACGCACGTCTTTCTAGCTTTTTAGGGCATGTATACTAGTTAGAGGAAGAAACATGGTCCTACGAAAGGAACTTTCCTGATAAACTCGATCCTTGGAAATTTGAAGAATAGACTCGCAAATTGGGAAAGCTTCTTTGCCCTTTCTTCGCTTGAGAAGAGAAAAGAAAATATGGAGGAGCTAGCAATCACTACGACACGAAAGCCAGTGACTAATCGAGATTTAGGTTCCCCGATGCAAATATAAGGAACAAGCATACTATCTCAAAATCATATTGTCTTTACCACTAAACTTCGTACGACGCCCAGGCCATCTGACCACGACGCGAGTTAGCACAATCACAGCTATCCTTTAGCGTCTATTTCCTTAAACAACTCTCTTGACCTCTTCTCCAACGAGAAGCAAAGGCTTCTCTGAGCTAAAGTTTGGAACATCACCCATGATAGTTGGTCCTTCCGCGGCTGCAGCCGCAGCCCATCCCTCCTTGCTCTCGAACCACAGAATTGCTTGCCTGTTATTATTTTATCAGCCATCATACCACAAAAACGCCATCCGGTGTCCCGCCATCCTCTTGCTAGATATATATATATATATATCTCGGGGATATGAACAGCACACACGACTCGAGAAAAACATACACAGAGTATCCTGAGCTCTCATCCAACTTGTTAACAGTCCAGTTCTTCAATCCACGAGCACCCCATTTCTCCTGAACAAGTGGCATATGTGTCTTCATATAGTAATCCAAGTCGAAAGTTGAGGTTTCGGTCTTGGGGTATATGACGGTGACGATTACGGACATATTGGCGGTTGATTCGATTGTTTGAAGATATGAATTGAAAGGGAATTGGAGTTATGAGATCAGAGCTTGATCCACGAATTGTAAATTTGTTGTTGTTGTCGTCAGGTGTAAGAAAGAAAAAGAAGAGGGGTTGCTGTCAACACGACTTAATTCATAATTAACCCCGCACCTTCCGTGCACGACGATAGCACAAGCTTCCGTATCGCCAGAAAGTGTACAACTCCGACGCTATACACGCTAAATCGGTGTTAACGAATCAACAAAGTCAATCATGTCTTTAACTTTCACTCGATTGAATACCTACGGACTCAGACACTACCTACTCGGCGATGTTTCAGTAAGTTCCTGGGTGACGTTAGATACTCGCCTGCTCACAAGCTCTATCAAATGAATACTTGGTACTTGTAGATCAGAAGTCTTTACTTTTCCCCAATAACACGTGTAAAGTTCTCGGCGGATGTTCTATTTACTGGACGCACGAGTACTTTGATCGCGCCTCTGTTGGTCCGATTTCGAGTGGGTTTCGTGTAACAATTAATACACAGATCTTCACGTTTGTGCAGTGTAACGATGGGTGGATTTGCATCGGGTTATCATGACAGGATATCTGCACGTGTCCATATAAGAGAAAAGGAAAGATTGGTGGCATGGGATGGAATGAGATAAGTCGGGTACCCTACTTTCAGACCACCCCTATTTTAGGCCACTTTTTACCACCAAAAATCTTAAAAAAATAGAATTTTTAACTTTCTTATTTATAGATAGAATTTATTGAAAATTTATATATATATAATTCAGATTGTTTTGAATCTAATCTGAAAATCTTAAATTTTTAGGATTTTTTTGTATTGAGATTTAAAACTTTAAAATATTGATTTTTTAATTTATATAGTTAAGAATCATATATAAATTTAGAACTTTTATAAAATCTTTAATAACTTTTTAATAAAAATTATTAAAAGAAAACTGTATATCTTTTTGAAAGTTTTGAGCTAAAATCTATATAAAAATTCAAAAAAAAATCAAAAAATTAACAGATATAAAGATATGGTATATTGTTACGGGAGCTGCCTCTAGGGTCACGTGGAAGTGTCTAGAGATCTCTCGAGGTGGTTTAGACTAGACTTCAAGTAGGAATTCAATAAGGTTGTAACTGGTTGCAATTCTCGTAACTATAGTAATGAAACTAATGATTGTTCTTGAGCACGAAGCTCTACATTGTAATGAAACCCATTCCCTATATAGACCTTCGTTCTGAAGTCGACCGACAAGTCGACCGGCAAGTCGATCGATAAGTCGATCGGCTTTTGATCACATGACACTTGTCCCGTGATTCCTATTGTCCTAGCTTGTCCTTTTGTCCTGGAGTTTAATCCCCTGGGACATTACTAATCCTAGTGAAGCCTTCTTGCTTACTGTGTTCTGTCTTTCCTAGGACCTACTGTCCTGGGAACTATGTTCTAGGTTTCTAGGGTATCCTATGACTAATACTATATACATGCCTGAGGATTTCCTTGGATGCCTAGTGTCCCCCGGTATACTGCAGCTGAATCACTGAGGCCTATAATACCATTATAGCCTATAAGTTGGTGATTTCTACAGCCTGTTACTAATCCGTTGTAACATATATAATGAATTTAAAGTAGTATAAATAATCTTTACAATTTTAAGGGTATTCTTTTAAATATCTATTTATAGGAAATTTTCTTTTTTTTCTGAATCTTTTAAAATGAATATATTATAAATTTATAATAAAATTTTATAATTTATTTTTATTAATTTTTATTAAAAGTTATTAAAGATTTTATAAATATTTCAAATTTATATATAATTCTTATACAAATTTAAAAATCGATATTCTAAAGCTTTAGATTTTAATATAGAAAATTCCTAAAAATCTGAAATTTTCAAGGTAAATTAAAAATGATTTAAATTATATATATTCAAATTTTTAATAAATTCTATTTATAAATAAGAAAGTTAAAAATTCTATTTTTGATATAAAAAGTGGTTCAAAAGAGGGGTGGCTCGAAAGTAGGGTACCCGATTTAATCAAGAGAGCTTTGTTAGGTATCTAGTTATAGCGATTGGGGAGATGATGAGCTCGGAGTACAAGGTCAGGCATCAGAACTTGACATATAAAGAGACAATTAGTTTCCTAATACGAACACGTAAAATACGACCAGCCGCGTTGAAAGAATAATTTCACCACCATCATAAATGATTCTTCCAAACTAAACATCAGCGCCTCCTATTATTCTCACCATGCTATTCTTTTCCATTATCTCGCGCGACATAACCACTTTGCAAATCAACTGCGTCCCATCCCCTCTGCACCATTCTCTGAGCGAAAGAATTCCTATCTAGTCCCCCTCTGAGCGATGTTGAATTTTCGTCATTAGGTAAAGACTGAGAATGGAATGGTCTTGAATAATGCGATTCATATCCAGAGAGGTGCGTTGGCTTTTGATTACTAGGCGCTGAATCTATGCATCATTAGTTTATTGAAAGTAGCACAGACAGCAGGAGACACGTACTATTATTCAAACTTAATTTCGATACATCCATATAGCCCAGATTCCGATAGTCTCTCAAGCTGGCAGACCAGGTCTCGTTTACCCCTTCTTCACTGGTGTTCGATGTAGATGGTGCCATTCCTTTGAAAGGATAGCCGGAGAGAGAAATGCGGGGGATTTCTTTCGATGTCTTTTTCCATGGTAGACGAGTGGATAAGGAAGTGATGATTGGTTTGCTGATTTTCTTGTTGACTCGCTTTCGACGACGACGTAGAAACCAAGATATGAGTGCGAAGACCAAAACAAAAGCGACTCCGCCGCTAGCGCCCCAGGCGATGAGTTTCGTATCGATTGTAGTATCGGTTGCAGTATTGGAATGGAGCGCAGTGCCAGTAGTAGGAGGTAAAGATGTCGAGCTGGCTGCGTAGAGAGGGGACGTCAGGTATGATGTGTCAGGAGACTTTGTAACTGGAGATGATGTGGTTGTGAATAAGGATAGTGAATCAGAGTGAGAAGGGGTATCCGATGAGCTATAAGCCTCTGTATACACCGATATTCTGACAGCTGTGAATGTCGATATCGATGTTACAGTCACCACACTCGGACTGGCTGCCATGAAAGTGTTGTCATTATCGGCATTACTGCATTTGGTCAATATTGAGCTTGGTGGCGCAATTCCGGTGGAAACTGGGATACTGGAAGTGGTAAAATGGAGAATTGAGGACGCTGTAGGTTCAGCTCCAAAATTTGATTGGTTCAAAGATGACTGGGTCGAGTACCCCGTATTGTTCCAAAGTGTAGTCCTTGAAGAGTTTGAATATGCCAATGATAGAAATCGAGCAGTGGTAGATGCTCCAGGCGGGGTCGTCATAGAAATTATAGGGAGTGGGAAGGTTGTCGTTGGAAGGACACTCGTCTGAAACGTGGTACTCTGTGAGCCAGGGATGCTCAAAGCAGTAGTTACCGACTTAAATGCGGCAGGATATAGATGAGGTTGAGGGCAATTGTTAGCGTTGCTCGAGCATGGATCGATATCATAACACCCCTGAAATGAAGGGTTGTGACTTGAACATATCCACCAACTTCCAAAAGAACAATACACGTTCGGCCAATAGGAGCCAAGATTCATTGATCCCTCATCTCCAGCTTCCCCGTGTCCAAGTCCAGCCGCCCGAAGATCGCTTGCTGGGCATCCTTTGCTGTTGCATGGGTTGCTTGTACAGCATCCGAAGAAGGTTGGTGATTGAGCTGTGCAGGTATACCTATAATTTGATCATTCAGTATTGTTATATAAGATGACAGATGAGTACCCCACCACTATCAAAACATTTGGTCAGTGATGGTCCGTAGAACAATTGAAGGACATGCACGAGACGAATACTCAGGGGAGACCCGAACAGGGTGTTTAAAAAGCAGAGAAAAGATTATACTTACAAGACCTCCTAGAGGACAAGTACCAATAGTATTGTTTGTCATATTGCTAGAATAACAGTGGAAGCCGGGTAGGATGTGCTATTCGGATAAACTATATGGTATTTGAAGTTTCAAGAGTTAAGAAAGTGCTAGAAATTGTTTGAGATGAGGAGTACTAGGCTTCCTGTAAACCTTTTTAAAAGAAAATATCGAGAAAGTAATGGAAGTTGGACTGATTAGAAATTCGATGCTAAATTTGTGAATCAACAGAAATAATATCACGAGAGATTGATTCACCTCTCTCGAATATAAATTGGTGCAAGTATTGATCTGTATTTTTAAACACCCCATTGTTCATTGTAGTGAGTAACATGTGAATAACAATAAAGGTAAGATTTGTGAGGTAGATTCGAAGAAACATACGTGAAAATGAAAAAGCTCCCCACTTCTCAATCTCGCTCCAATGTGATCCTGTATATCTCAGTTTCTGGATGGCCCCGACTTCAAGACTTCCGGTAATGATGCTCGGAAGGAATCCTCGGATGTATCTGGCAGTTCTACTGTCCCTGGTCGAGAATTAAATGATCTTTGTTGAAGAGGCGGTGATTCGACTTCATGTAAAATAGAAGAGTCGATCTCATGGTAATTAGGGAAGTTTGGAGATTGAGGCGCGGATTGATATGGCGGGGCAGGACTGAGAGGTGGAGATAATGGTATCTCTGATACTGGCCGACAATCTGTCAAATCATTAATCAGACGTTCTGCTGTTCTTGGAAGAATTGCAATCACCTTTCTGCGCTTTAGCGTCTGAAGGGCTGCCCTCATATACGAAAGGCGACGAAGCTACTTTGACCATAGACATGTCTTGAGGTGGCGATTGATAATATGGCTCGACTGCACCTGCCAACGGGGCTCTCTTTTTACGTCGTTGGAGGCAAAAGATAATTAAGAGAACAAGTAGTATAACAACCACTCCACCTAAAGCGCTCCCTATGATGGCAGTGGTGGGTAATTTTGAGTTTGAATTGTGCCCAGTTGAACCTACTATCGCACTCGTTGTGGCCGATCCTTGAGATGACGGAGTTTCAGTCGAACTGGTGTCAGCGGCGAAATTTCTTACAGTGGATGAGGAAGTAGAGAACAAAGATTTCGAAGAAGATGAAGAGATCGAAGATAATGCCGAAGATGATGAAGTCGAGGACGATGAAGTCGAAAATGACGAAACGGACAATGATGAGGTGGTGACAGATGAAGACTTGGAGGCAAGAACGGAGGCAGATGTAGCTGGAACGCTACTGAATGCTGCAGCGTAAAGCCTTGACGACGGGCAACCATTTTCGTGACATGGATCGAATTTCTCGATCGAACCAGGTTCATTGCTATCATCACAGCAACCTTGAAATGACGGAGTCTGTCTAGAGCAAGCATACCAGACTCCTCCGTTAGGGCAATCCGCATTTGGCCAGTATGATCCATCGTTGCTAGAAGCATCCGGACCACCTGCTGTCCCCATTCCTGCAGGTAGGAGGTCTTTTTCAGGGCAACCGACTCCATTACATGGATCACTGGCGCAACAACCGAAGAATGTCGGCGACTGATCCAGACAAATCCACCTAAAATATTAAATCTATCAGCGATATTCAGGGCCTCAATACAAGATGAAACTTACCATTTACCGCCGAGAGGGCATGATCCCATAGGAGTTGAAGACATCTTTCTTTGCTTAGTTGATGAAATCAGGATCAGGAGTAATTTGGGGGAAACTTCTCATTAGATAAGTGCTAAGCCGAAGAATCGATTGAAGTTTCACGTCTCAGGTATGATGGAGAGGGTATAAATACAAGTAGTTAAAACAAAATATCTAGGGAGCCTTATGCCTCATTTAATGTGGAGGGTATCAAGATAATGGTGGCTTGCGTCAAAATGAACAGTGTCGAGACCAAGACGTTGGTCTAGCATTGATTTGTGGAGAATGTATTCCATCTGTAAGTGGTACGTAAAGCTCTATGTGTGAGTAAATGTGGTGTGTTGTACAACAAACGGTAACTACAACTGCCACTACCCGTTACGATGTTTGCATCTTACATTTACTGGCAAAACTCGCCACACGAAGTCCTAAAGAAGCAACCTGGAGACAATACAACGAGCTCATCAAGCTCAGACGAATGAAATACGTGCTAATTAACCATTGTTTAGGGATAGTAATATCGGAGGTGAGGTTATAAATTCAAAATGGATGGTTTGAAGGTCCCGCAAACATACATGTGTTGAACAGAAAGACCGACCTCTTGTTGCCTCTGAAGCATTTATAGCTTGATAATTGTCATCATAATGCGATGTCGACATGTATACACTGACACTTAACAATACTACCCGATTGATGATGATTCGGGAGCTGCAAGCAGTTTTTGCGGCTTAAATATGGTCGATCTTTCATGCAATCCCTACTAGATTGATACTTCAATTCCTACTTGAGCTTCTGTTTCGATCTTTTCCGTTCAGATACGGGAATTGAGTCTGCCTTGCACTGCAAGCTAATGCTCTGACCAGTTCATTTGAAGTGGGATGATTTTTCGGCAAGCCCGAATGACACAACTTAACAGTGACGTCTAGCCTGACCAGACATGATTTGAGCTGCAACATAAACACGACATGAACATGAGGAGTACGTTTGAAATCGGATCCAACGATTGCTCGCAAATTGTGGCTGATGTCGATGCTCTCTTCACTGCGGAAACACATTGGCCTGCGGAGGATAACTTCCAATCTACTGCCTCATCTTCCCTTCTCTCAGTCTTTCTCTTCTCCACAGACAGGACGTAACACGAAGAATGAGTAGGTATGTTGACACCGTCGGGCGATCCTATTAACAAGTCGAGAAAACCCTCAAAAATCAAGAATAGTGCATCATCGATACGTCTAGAAGTTGCTCGTAAATTTTCTCAGAGGTTCCATGTTGTACAACATGGAGGGTTTGTGAAGTTTATACGTGCTAATAGATACACTAGTACTAACTTGGGCCTAGCGCAGCTTACCATAGACCACGAAACGTGATATTCTTGTTTCACAATAAAGTCATTTCGGATAACTTATCTGCTTGCAGAATTAATAAAAATGAATTTCTAGAAATCTTGTGAAATAGACCTCCGAGTGAAAATACGAATAGTGGATGTCAGCGAAAGATTTCTGTTGCTTCATCTACAGTTCACTACAAGCAACATTGTATTGTGAATGGTCCGCTTCAAGATGCGTCAAATACACTTCTCAGACGAAGATTTTATTCTTGTTACAAAGCACTCGATTATTACCAGGACTAGCGATTAAGCAACTCAATTTTAACTTGATTCTTTATATATGTGAGGCGCCAGCGGACAATGAGGCTCCGCGGAGGCGGGCGCGGGCGCGGCGTCATGACGTGCGCGGATATAACAACTGTATATTTCCTTCTCTATAGAACTTGGCTTGGGATTTCTAAAAAGATATGATTCTATCTCTACTTTCTATCCTCTCAGTTCTTCATTCCCTACAATTGTAACTATTCCGCAAAACGCATTTTTCTCTATCTCCTATCACGTGTCATCAACGACAGCCACTCTCACTGAACAAATCTTCAACATGGGCGTCTCAGAGCTTGTTGATTCTATCAATCTTGCCACTAGTAGATCTAGTGAGTTGAATGATGAAGATCGAGTAAAGCTTCTTAGCGCGTGTGAAAAACTACAATCAAGCCTAGAGGGTCCCCGGGACAAGTTGATGAAGATGATATTCTGTGTGAGTATTAATCCAGTTCACATATCCAGTGACTTCTGACAAAATTCCAGTCACTTCAACCAGAAGCACTTAGTCTTGCAGTCGACATGGAGATTTTCGACAGCAGCAGCCTTGTCTGCGGCTGGAAAAGAAATTCGAGCAGAAGATCTTGCTTTGCCAAAAGATGCCAATCCGTTGCTTATTGGTAAGTCCTTGCTTGAAGATAATAAGGATCGTAAGGAAATGACTATTCCTTCAGCAATCATCATGAGACTATTGGTGGGAATGGGTTACTTCACTGAAATAGCCAGACAAATCTACAAACCCACACCACTAGCTAGCGCTCTCGTCACGTCATCTCCATATGGCTAAGCGGTGATTCACTTGTATGCCACACCTCTCTTAAATCCTTTGTTCCGTATCTAACAATCTCTAGCACGACCCAAAATGAAGTTGTAGCCGCTCTCCTAACATACTTTGCTCAAAAAGGCTATCAGAGCCCTAACGATGCATACGATGGTCCATTTCAGTTTGCTCGACAAACAGACCTTCGTTGTTTTGACTGGATGGCTACTCAACCACGTATTCAACATGCTTTCAACACCGTGATGACCATCCCACGCACAACTGGTCGTGCAGCATGGTATGAGTATTTTCCCGTTGCGGAAAAGCTCAAGGTAGAAACGCCTTCAGATCGACTTATAGTTGATATTGGAGGAGGTATTGGGCATGATTCAGTTCGTTTCAAAGAAGTACATCCAAAACTTCAAGGTAAACTTATTATAGAAGATATCCCGGTAGTGGTTTCTAGTGTCGCACAAGGCTCCCTTCCTGACGGCATTGAAGCTCAATCATATGACTTCTTCAAACCACAACCTATCTGCAATGCAAAAGCTTATTTTCTGGCTGATGTCTTGCACGATTGGCCTGATACGCAAGCCTCGGTTATTCTCGAGCAATTTAAGGATGCGATAGGTAAAGAAAGTGTGTTATTGATCAATGAAAATTTGATGCAAGAAGAGAATGCATCATTCGAGAGTGCCTATACAGATTAGATGATGATGGGGGAATTATCGGCATTAGAAAGGACAGAGAGGGAATTGAAATAGCTGATTGAGAGTGTGAGATTGGTTTTGGTGAAGGTGTGGGAGGCTCCAGGTGTAGAAAGTGGACCTTGAGAGGGTAGAAGACTTTGGAAGTGACCAAGCAGGATTGAATGACTGGTAACCCAGTACAATTAGTTCGTTAGATAAGCTATCAGATTTTGTCATTATCATGTAACATATAAGATAACACAACTCGATGTAACCGTAAATCTCATCAAGTGATCATAGATTGTAATCGAGATTACCGAATACCTTCCCTTGGTACGTAGTAAGCTATAGTTCGTGAAGCTAGCTGATAATATCAATCAATCACAAAATCGAAATGGTCTAATCCATTAATGGTAATATCTAGAATAGAACAGGTGGGGTTCAATGTAACAATCCAGGGGTGACCTAAGCGAGTTCTCTCAGATGACACTTCTTCGGGTGAATCGGGTTTGCTTATTATTTCTCACTCAATAATAAACCACCATCCCCTCAAACTTTATTTCGTGAGATTCTGTACCCTCGTTTCAAGATATGAGCGCTCAATTATTTTGTTGAAGATTTTGTTGGGATGGATTTCTTGCCGTGGGGCTGCATACAAGGTTGAAACTACGTCATCCGTTGAAACTCGACCCAATATTCTAAATCACGAGTGAGGGCCGCACAGCCTTGTACTAGGCTACGCCATGCTCATATACGGAATTGATGTGCCAGAAATTAGTGAGTCGGCATGGAAACTCCAGGAAATTCATCAAGTGGGTTACGAACTTACTACGGAACGAATTCTGCTTGACGGCAACGACTTGATAATTGTTCGTTGATACAACTATACCGCTTACTTCGAATAAAACAAATCTAGAACAAAGTTTCTATGAAAGAAGGGGAATGTGTTTGTGTCACCGAGTCGTGGAGGGGTTGCACCTTGTACCACCTTCGCACTAGGTACTATTTGAGCTTTGGTTAAGAGAAATATGATTCTAGGGGTCGATCGCTAATACAGATAGGCTATCAAAAAAAGAGTTCTATATCATGAGTTGCAAAAAGAAAGAATCAGCCGACTTCCAAGAAAATTCTCGAAAGACTCCTCCAACCAAGGCGTCTCCTCATCTTCCTCCACCTTGCAAACCTATTTTTTAAATGAAATTTTTTCGTGATGCCCAAGCCCAATCTGAGATAGATCTATCTTTAAAGGAAAAGCAGTCGAGAATGGCGCCTTATACATAACTTCTCGATGCGACGCATTCTGTCTTGGCAGAGAAACTTTTATCCTGAGCATCTATTCCTCGTACGAAAATCGAAGAAATCTAGCAATACACCACACGCAATGAGGCTGAACAAAAGAAGTCGACGAGGCTCATAAAGAAAAACGATGAAATTCTCCTGTCGCAAAGCAGCCAAGTCCCGTCGAGAAAAATCTCTTTCCTTGGAGTGTATTTTTTGTTCGAGAGACAACGCTCGTTTTCTCGAACATTTTGAAACTATCCATGCTATACAAAAGACACAGTCCTTCGCGATCGAAAAACACAATCAGACTGGTACCAAAGGGGCTGTGACATGCGCGTGGCTATAAGCAGGGAACTCCTTTCGCTTTCTGGATCCCTCAAACATCGGGTCCAGCTATCCTGACTTGCGAGCACGTTTTAGTATAACAAGATCATCATCTGATATTCGAGGCAGATGAGTAAAAGCATATGCTCAGGCGAATCAGGGAATCCATGTCTTCAAAGGTCCAGGAGCGAATGAATAGCGTGGCGCCACATTCTACCAGGCAACTCGTATTCTGACGCCAATCGCGATATATCAAGACTCGCGGATGGATAGTGAGGGGCTTAAAGAAATTTCGTTCTTCTTGCAATAGAGTTTTATGCAGTGCAATCGAAGCTTATCACTGTTTTTTTTTGTGGATTTTCGAGTCGCTTCAGATACGAGACACGCCTGCAGACGCTACTGATTGGTTCGACTTGACCGATATTGTTTTTGTTCTCCGATACGGTACCGGCTTTTAATATTGCTTGTGCTGAGTACAGAGAAGAAATGGAATGGTATAGTATGGCCATTGAAGTAGACAACATTCGAGATCGAGAGGTTGGATTGGCGTAGCACGTCATTGGTATTCGAATGCTTCCGACAAATCCCCTCCGATTGGTCGGCTATATCATCACTTCGCGATTCTTGCACAACCAGTCGCCATCCATAAATTCTGAGTCTCTGTTAGATGATGATAAGAGGAAGGCGTACCGCGCACTTACATTTCATCAATAATGAGTATTAAAGTACTGATATATTTTGGTCTAAAGGTCATAGTTATGTTCTTCCATTCGATGGGCAGGCTAATGAGCAGTTAGTCGTCCGCAGACATCTGATGATAAGGAAGCCTACTGTCATCTCATCACGATCATTCTCATACACCCATCTTTCCAGCTGGTATTGAGTCGTCACTGGAAGGGTATCGAGAGTGGTAGTAGTAGGGTGACTATAGTCTGCCGTGACTGGGAAATCATAAGTACTCTGGTAAGCAATCGCCACAGTCGAAGCGTTGTATGATGATGGTGTGGAGAGTGCAATGGTTTGAGTAGTAATGACGGGAGCTTTCCATGACAATTGTGGTAAAGTATACCCGGCGGATTGCGTGTTGAAGTGAACGGGGATAGGGAATTGAGCACCTAGGTGATAGAATACCTTAGGGTCGTTGTCAAAGTCGCTCGCAGGTAACAGACCGTCGACAAGCCCCTGAATTATTTTTCCTGATGCTTCGAGATGAGAATTGGCTTCATCGGAACTCCATCCGCAAGGTGTGGAGGCAATGTCAATTTCGATATGTCTCTCTTCAACCGTCATGATATCAGCGTGGAAGACTTGAGCCCCTTCATCGATCTTCTCTTGAGATATGGGTCGAGCTTCTGACTGCATGATGTTATTGAACTCTTGTTTTTGCTCATCGTTGCTGCTCGGCTGCGCAGTGAACTCATGAGAGGTTCTCTCACTCCTAGACGTAGATATTGTCAGTGATACTTCACGTCTGAGTTTGAATGAAAGCAATACTTCTTGGTCCTCTGCTTCGGCTTGCCAGCAGTCTGTCCTTGGTCTTTTGAATGCTTGGTCATAATGTATGTTTGTTGTAACAATTGATTATGGTTGAGTATATATAGTGGTAGGAATAGTTTCCTAAAGTGTATTGATGCTAGAATGCAAAAAAGTGCTAAAAGTGTATATGGCAGGGTATATGGTATGTCAACTAATAGTGACCAGATATGTACAGAAGCAAGGTTGAAATATAGTATGCTCTGTGATAAAAATGGGATATAAATTTATCTGGATTCGAGGAAGCAGACCGCGAAGTATGTAGTATTGAGAGCAATGATAGAAATTTATTTGACAACACGACTCTGAAAAAGCAAAGGAGATTGTGTTGCGACCGAAAGTGATATTTGAAGGGGGAAGAGCGATTTTATACAGCCTTTTAGGCATCTAAATGTGGTTTGGAGTCCAATTGCGAACCATTTGCAACCCATTTTGTTCGGCGTGAAGTGCGCACTCCTCTCTAGGTAAATTATCCTGAGAAGTTGCCTTACTACTCGAATATCCTTTGGACCCAATTGCAAGCCACAGATACCAACCAGGTGAAAATGAACACTAGTTCCCTCATCATTTTCAAACGCCACAATAGAAGAGCAGCAGTGCGTAGAAAAATGGTTATCACCTCTACACCGCATTTACATAGCCACCAGTAATGGGAAATTTCGTAACGACCTCTACCTGAATGACGACCAGAACCTATATCGATTCTTTGAACAGACTACCATTCTTCTACACGCGACTATATTTTTGAGTATTTCCTCGATTTTCCTTAATTTCAAGCAATATATAACCATCATTTTTAACATATGAATTGAGACGATAGTAAGATACTCGATCCCGCTCTATACATGATTGCGAGTTTGAGAAAACAACGTATATATGTGAAATATGGTTTTGGTTTGGTTGCCTCGAGCCTTTCTACTTCAATGATCACGCAACTAGCTATCAAGCAATTTTTTTCAGTACATGTGTAACAATATACGGCCTATTACCTACTATAATCAAAACCTTGCTACTTTCTTGATCTTGGTTATTTTCCAGTCTCTCACTAGCTTTCAATCATCACATCCATCACCCGTCTTCTCGGGTCTCTGTCTACCCTATTTAAAAATCATCTTTCCTAGACTTTTTCACAAAGCATTGTTAATCCCCGAAGCGAATAAATGGGAAATTCTGTTATTCATAATTGGCTATTATTAATGGAATAAAATGCACGCATAATCTCGGTCATTGGATGCGTTGTCAATTCCAGCCTCCTTCTCTAGAGAGAGATTATTTTTGTTTCATAAAAACCCACTAACGGCGGTAATTGTTCACAAAAACAATTTTTAGTTGCGAAGTAATCCCTACCTGAAGGCCCGGCACAGTCGTACAGATGTTTAAAATTCTTCATGTTTGTCGGTGATGAGTCTTCTTTGAGCTGCGTCGCTGCATGGCTGTACCGTGCCCTGGTTTATCAGATTCTTTGTCCTGTCAATCTCACCCAAAGCGGACTGAGAGAAGAAGATGAAAAAGCTATGAGGATTGCGCTATTTTTTATAGTACAGTAGTATATTCCGGCAGACACTGGCAAGCTTACTGTTAGATGCATCATTAATGGTTATATGCCACCCCACTAAAAATCTAATCTTGAACTCGTCTATTATCAATAAGCATCGTTCCTGACTTTCCCTTAAAGAGTATGGGGGGAAAGCGGTGGTGAGCCCAGAGAAATTTAGATTAATGAGTCAAATCATATTTCTCTTAGATTCCATAGAATCACATGACTAGCACCGGTACCTTGTTTTGGCTCACATCATCATTTAGATTTTGTATCAATTGCCCAGTTTACTACGCGTGGTTCATCCAGTTAGTGTGGTGACACAACATATTCAATGCTCCATCAATACAGGCGGCTGGTTTACCACAGATACAACCTGGTAAAGCGTTCAACCACAATAAAAATTTGCCACTTTCGATAGTATACGATTATGATCCAAACAGATGGCCAACCATCCAATCAGTTTTCGCATATGATTACACACGAATTGGGCAAAGATTATGTATGCGCTGGCTCCAATGTGCAAGTATGAAACAGCAAGCTTTTCCAAACTCAGGCGAACAATAGTAAGAGTAACTACTCGGTGTCGTTTTGAATGAATGCCGGCCTAGATTTAGCTAGTGTATATCACACCAGAAACTGTCAAGGTGTGTGGGAAATCAGGGCTCAAGTAATGTTATGTAGAATTCTATAGAGGACTAAAAGGAATCCGGAGGATTCCTGAACTAACATAAAATAGTAATTGGTATTACGTGATCTGGGAGCGTCGCTCATTTACAAAAACCATTAAAAGTCACCTATTTCAAAATTCGATATCATTTCAACTATAATGATTGAATCTATAAAGCTTTATATATATATAGATCTTCAATTGAATTATACATATTGCTTTTTAAAAATAAAAAAATACTATTTCAATCTCTAATTATTTAAAAGAAATTAAAAAATTAAAAAATTAAAAGTATAGGAATTAGAATTTACTAATTTTTAGGGTTTTGCCCCTTAAAATTAAGATCTAAAATAATACTTATGTTTCGAATCGTTTTTCATGTTATTATTATTTCCTTGATAATTTTTTTGAAATTCTAAAACTCTTATATATGATATTTTAATAGATTCTATTTCTATTTTGAAAAAATTGAATGAAACAATCATATTAATTCTTTTGATATCGAATTTCGAAAATGCTGAATAGTCACGAATTTGAGTGAAGATTTCGTCTAAAATTAAGGTCGGCGTTCATTCAAAATGACACCGAGTACATTGAGAAAGTTACATTTGTTCTGTAGATCATAAGTATCGCCTAAGTATTGTTCATACACAAATCCATACTGCATTATCAATGCTGTGACTAGAGAAGAACCAAGGATCCGTTCAATTCTCGATCTGATGGAATGTCACCCTAATGGTACTTTCCTACATGGTTTCAAAAAGTCGGTTTGTGGTTTCGAAAAGGCAAGCTTTGCACTCCGGACAATATATACATGCTCCTAAAAAATGTGCTGATACTTGCACAACATACGCTGGGAACAAATTATCCTGTTTCTTCTGTATATAATTTCACCAAGGCAAAATGATACGTGACTATGATCTAATCAAAGCGAAATTGTAAATCGGCGAGAAACATTGCGGATTAAGCACGCTACTATGTTGATCACGAATTTGGTGGTTCCTTGTATTTTGGAGATCGGATTTAATTATCCCTATCCATACGTTTCGGTTTCATCATAACGAATTCGTAGGATATTGAGCAACGCCAGAAGAAAAGAATAAAAGATCGAAGTTCACAAGGCTCAATCAATTTCACAGCCTTGCCGAGTAACTATTGTCGCCCTAAACTAGGCCGGTCGGGGCTTTGCGGGTCCCTGTACTACCAGCTTTCCAGTGATTTATACTGTATCATTGCGGTTGGCTCCCTAAAGTCTGACAAGAACGCTTCGTTACTTGTTTCCACGCAACCCACAAATTTTTACACAAAGCAATGCTGAAGATCATTTTATCAAGTGGAGAAATAGATGCGCTATTGCTTTCAGTGCAGACGCCCTGTTGAGCTAGCACATTTTCACGATTATTGAGGTATGATTGACGCCCGGAGGTTTGTTCTGTGATACAATAGGCTCGAACAGAAGAGAGAACGCAATGAAAGGATGCGACCAGATATCCGCCAAGTCTGAACCGTTATGTGATTTATCTGACATGATAGATGCAGTCAGGAATGGAAACATCCATGTCCCGCATTTAACAAGAACTAACAAAAGTCGGAATATACTCTTCCAAGAATTACAGTCAACACAAAACGATCTGCGGACAGCATGGCCGCCGCGAGGGTATCACAAGATCGATTGAGATTGGAGTGTATCAACTCCACCGCGTAGGACCTGCGATCTCTAGACACGTCAAGAGGGGTTGCAGATTTGACAATACCCGGAAGGGACTTTCATCCCCGCAGCTGTGAGACCATTCAAATCTTTCGGTCGGCGGGCCTGTTGTCTAACGGTACCGTAAACGCCGTGGTCAAGATTGCCGAGTCCTGCACTGGCTTGCGCCACATTATGATTACATGCTTTCGAATTGGAAAACTTTATGTCAACCATAAAGCTCATGACCTACTTGGCCAATCCAACATGTGTCGATCATGCGGCCCGCCCCTGCGACCTCTTTCTTGATTATGTACAATTCCGTCTCGGCATGATCGGCATGGTCGGCACACTCCAGGAATGTGCATGATCTTTCACGCGACTTCGCGAGGCAATTTGGCAAAACAGGACGATGAATGTATTGTCTGACTGACTGTCTTGAACTTGGAAAAATACACGAATTTTTCAAAGTGGCCCTTGGTAAAATTTTATTAGTGTCGTGCACGTCTTTGAAGTTGGCCATTGCACTTTGGCAGCGACTCGTGCGATTTGCTAACATACGAGGGCTCGCATGGTCATGTGACGATGGTGTAATGCCCATAAACGTTGATCACTGTAGAAGGAACAGACCGACTTTCCCTCTTCCCACACTTTTCATTTCTTAACATCAAAGTTTTGTGTTTCGATTGGATTTTCTATCTTTTTCTCGAACGAGAGAAATTATTTTAGTTACAGGTTCCCTTCTTAGCATCAAACTCTCTCATGATAATAATCACAACCTCAATTACGCACCCTGATGAGCGAATACGATGACTTCACGTTTCCAATGCTTGTTCCTGTTTGATATTCCGAGGTATAGTCTCTTACTTCACGATGGTCATGCAGACAGTGCCTCCCACAGTATTCTATTAATTTAGCACGAGTGTGACTTCTCAAGGGGGCTTTGCCTTGATATAGGATCACAGTTTCACAATCTGTGCAAATGGATACCCGGTTGATACTTGTGGGTATTTGAGTTGATGTCAGTAGTAATTAGATACATATCTCTACAGGCCTTAGCTCATCTAGTCTCGAGTATGATGATTATCATGAAGAGCCAGATGAGATGCAGCATAATTCAGCTTCGTGG